CTGTTGCTAACAATCATGCCTTAAATGCAGAATCTGACATCTGATAGAATTCTGTCCCAGTAAGTTAAATAAACAACACTGCAATACAGTTTGAGAGTTTCTGTCAAGAGTTTGTATATTTTTAAAAATAATAAAACATGCAAGAATCTACTTGGAAAGCATATACTATGTGCCACTTGATATTGTCATCTTTTAATCTCAGAAAGCCTTTGATGATGTGATGTTGTTGTATTCAGGGGTGGAAGGTTGTTGTGTTTTTGAGACAGTCTTGCCATGTAGTTCAGACTTGCCTGGAACTGACTATGTAGGCAAGGCTTGGATTGGGGTGCTCCATCTGCCTCAGCTGGGACCATAGTTTGGCCACCGTAGCTGTGCCACCATAGCTGGCTTAAACCTCAGAACCACCTTTGAGATAGGTATTGCCATTAATCTCATTTTATAGAAACTGAGACAGAATTACTTTCTCCTTACTTTTCATCTTACGGCATAAACCTTTCTGTTGTTCCTCTCGACTAGAAATATAGCTCAGACTAAGTTGAAAAGAATGTTTAAGTCTTTCTTGTGTAAATGAAATTACTTTTGCCAATAAAAGTACTGTGTAATTGAAAATTTGGTCTGAGAATTACGACACAGACTAGTTTAAGTCATATTTGGAATTAATGCTTTCCCCTAAGTTTGAGGAGCAGTATTTTATCTAATAAACAATGATATTAGGATTACATACACACACCATTCTTTCTCCTAACATCCTAACCTGAGTAATTACGATGCTTGTGGTTTCTAGGTTTGGGAATGTTTGGGTCTTGGTAATATGCATCATTTGCATTAAGCCTTTGGTTGACATACACATGTATAAAAGTATATACTTTAAAGACATAGATACATGTTGGCTTTTTTCTCCTGACTTTTCTTTAGCTGAAAGAATAGAGACTCCTACACAGCTGAAAGAACTAGTTTCAGATTTATCTTCTCAGTTTGTCTTCTCACCTCCTACTTTGAGGACCAAGAAAAAGAATATATCCAGTACATCCAGGCTGATAGATGAACTGGTAAGGAAGACATACCTGTGTGTATGTTTGCTTAAACATCCTTTTATTTTTCAGATAAATGTTTTCTAAGTAAAATTTTCTAAAGATATCAACTGTTTATGCCAAAAGCCCAAAACTATCTTGTCTATACCTGCCTTTGGAGATCCTGCATTCAGACTTAATAGTATATTACTGATATATTACCTATTGGCAGCCACAATTTGAATTACCTATTAGGAAAAAGAAACAACAAAAAAAAAAAAAAAAATGGGAAGAAAAAAGGGTAGAAATAATAAAGAATTACAGAAAAATAAACAGTAAGAAATCACCAGTTGATAAGTTACATATTGTCATCTTAGAAATAGTTATTCAGGTTACAAAATTAAAGTATGTAAAGTGACATTCAAATAGTGACACTGCCAACAGTTCTGCTCAGTGATCCAACAAAAACTTAGTAATATCAGTCCTACACACTTGTTTTTTACCTTAAAGAGGGTAAGATTAAACATATCAAAACAACAAAACAGTTTAAAAAGAAACGATTTAAAGAAATACAGATTTCAAAGCAAGTCCACTGGAGATCTTCACTGTCTATCTTTTTGTCTCTAGTTTTCTTGCAAATAGTTGTCCCCATCTTCAACCACATTGAATACATACTGCATATTATAGAACTAATCAAATCATTACAGGATGATGAAGGCTTTTTAGGTTTTCAAGATCTGACATTGGGGAAGACACTAATGACTACCATAGTGTCTCTCATTCTCTTCGTAGTAGCTGTCCTTATCTTTACGTATGGTGAAATTGAACAAAGGAGACTAGACTAATAATACTCTGAACAGTGAATAATAGTATTGCTAGATTTTATATCATAATGCTACAGAATTAACATTGGGTTTCTTAGTGTCTCTTCGGAGTATCTGTTCATTACATCTTGCATTATATAATCTGTTCCCGTAAATAGAAGAAAATTTTTTAAATTTTAGTACCTACTCAGATTAATCTGTTCATTTAAAACATGCATCCATGAAGTTCTGTTATGTCATATGGAAAGTTTCCTTGCAGGGATACAGAATTGACTCTGACCTAGCTATACTTAACCCTAAAATGAAAATTCTTCATGGATTGGCCCCTTATCTTTATGAAGGCTAATTTGTAAGCTTTTATTAAGTTACCTGCCATGAATCAGTTACTGTTCAAAAGTTTAACACAAAAATAATTAAGCAGTTAATGGAAATACAGTTGAATTGAAGCAAAATCACAAATAATTACTTGTGTAAAGAATCTTGTTCACCTCGATGCCTCTCTAGACAAACGTAGAGGAGAAAGGTATTTCTGTCATAGAAATTATCAGATGCAGAGATGCAAAAGCACTGCAGTGGCAAGAGACAAGATGTGGAGTTGAATTGTAGGACTAAGCAATAAATAGAATACCTAGTTGAGTAAGGTTTCTACTGACAAATCAAAAATAGTCCCGTTGAGATTTGTTGAGTTTTTTAGAATTGACTATACTCCATGACTTGTAATAAAATTAATTTCCAGTTTCAAATGTTTACATATGATTTACCTGTTAAAATTTTAACCTGTAGGAAGATGATGCTAAACCAGTAGTAACCGTGGGAGAGCGAGAAGTGAAGAGAGTGAAGACTGCAAAAACAAAACAGGCAAACAAGTAAGTTTATCTTTCTGCCCTGTAACCTCTAATAGTTGTATTTTTCCAAATTAGAATGAGACAAGCAGTATTTAGAAGGAAAAATTAAGCTCATCAGGAAAGGGTAGCTTTTGCACTCATTGATAGTACTTGCTCCTTGACATTGTTACATCTTGATGATGAAGGTGATTTCTCTGTAGCATATAAGGCTCACTCATGCTTTTTTGAAGAACGTTGGTGGAGGTAGTTTAGTACCTGCAGAATGTAAATGGGGAAGGGAAGTAGGGTGCTTCACCTTTTCATTAGTAAAGATAATTATATTCATTAAAAATCAAGAGATTAGTTCACTACTAACTACATCCATAGGAAGTTACTCCATTTCAGACAGGTTGGCTACACAGTATTTTTTTCAATGCAGTAACAGCTGTATAATAAAAGAATATATTAATTTATTTTATCTTACTCTAAAAACTGATTTAATGACTACCATTATTAAGAACACTTTACTTACGCGCTATATGTATTTGAAAAACTTCATATTTTGAAATGACATATATTTGCCAGTTGTTGGTGTTGGAGAATTGCCATTTTTCTGTACCTCTTTGGATCTGGCCTACTGAACCTCCATAGACTACTAATATGTGGTCCATCCTTGCAGTTCAGCAGTATTTTATTAATATGCAGCATTTAAAGGAAACATTTCACAATACCCAAATCAGAGAGCAGTTAAGTGAAATTTTAACTGTGCTTCTCATTAGCTTACATTACTTGTCCAACCTTCACTTCTCTTGAAATGATTATTTCTCTCTCCTTTTTTTTTATTTTTAAGAATGAAACAATTATTTCTCTTTAAAAGCACTCATCCTAAGGTTCCTTATGCAGTGTTAAGAAACCAGTTATATTTAATGTGTTTATTCTTACTTGATCGTATCTTCTTTCAGAAATACAGAAGAAGACACTTCTTGGTCACCTCCTCCAGTAAAAATTAAGCTGATTTCTCCCTTGGCAAGCCCTGTTGATGGTGTAAAGAGCAAACCAAGAAAAACTGCGGAATTAACAGGAAGAGCTGTTGGAAGGGGAAGAAAGAAACCATCTTCCTTTCCAAAGCAAGTTTTACGTAGGAAAATGCTGTAATTTTTTTTCCACCATTTTAATGTACACATATTTGTAAAGTCATCAGAATTGTATGGATTAAAAACCACCTAATTTGGAAGAAAATAATTTATATAAATTATTGTAAATTTTTGTAAACAGGTCTTCAGTAAGTAAAATAACTCCATATGGAGTGATTCTTTTAGTCCAGACATTTTTTCCATTTTATATTAAGACTTCATACATTTATATAATATGTAAATAGGGCTTATTATTGGAATGTTAAATAAAGTATATACTTCGCAGTAGTTGATGTCTGTTAGATTTTTGAGAGAGATTTCTGTTTTAATAACTTTTATATGCTAGTAGCTTTTGTCCCATTTTCATTCTCTATAGTTATTAGACCAATCTTAAAATGAGAACGATTGAGCTATTATTTTTTAAAGTTGCTATTTTATAATTTATGCACTTTGATTCTGTGATTAAGATTTCTAATCATATACGTATTTTTGTTTGTTGCCTGTTACCATGTTGAAACTGAAGTATGGGCATGTAATTTCGCTGCCTTTTTGTAGTTTCACAAACTTTGTGTAATCTACCTCAAATGAGAAATTTTCCAAGTAATGCATTGGTTAACTATGTTGACATTTCTTGTTCAGCAAGCTTAAAACTATTTATCTTTAAAGTCTCTTAATTTAGAGACTAACTATCCAGGTTAGATTGACCGGTTCACTGCTTTTTAGCAACCTCATGAAAGAATTTGAGATAAATCTGTTTTAGGATATTCAGTGCACTTTACATGTGCCTAATATTGATGAGTGGAGACGTCTGAACAAATTTTATATTTTTTCTGTGGAGCAGCTTGCTACTGAATCACAAAAATCACTTATTCAGGTTTTTAAAACTGGCAAATTATCACAGGACCTCAGGCAAAAATTATTGAGAATGGGAAGAATGTGAGTAGATGTGGGACAAGAAAAAACAAAACACCCTTTTCTCTGCAGTATGACTGTGTGCAATTAAGTAATGATACTTGATGTAGGCTATAAAATTCATCAATAAATAAGTGTTGTAAAATAATTTATGACAGGTAATTGATAGTGTGTAATGAATGGACTGTTAATAATTGATCATCTAGAAACAGACTGCCTTTGTCAGCACAGCTTTTAATGTTTTCGTGTAAAGTGTAGCAATGTGCTTTCTAGTTTATTTTTCTACAAAATAAGACTATGGCTAACGAGAAAGTGATGAAAACGCCTATGCCAAGTACCGACAGTGTGAAAGTAGCGGTGCGAGTGCGACCTTTCAGTCAGGTTAGTGGTAAATGTTACATTGCCTTGTTCAAAATTTAACTGACTTTGATTTTATTAATTTTTTAAATGATAGTTATCAAACTTGTATTTAAGCTACTTGTCATTTCTGGATATTAAGCTTATTTAAATGGATTTGTTAAATGAATACTTCAGAGATGTAAGCCTAATTCAATAAAGTTTCCTTCACACAAGTAGCACAATAAAAATGTTGACAAGAGAAGTATATTGTCAAGTTAATGATTTTTTTTTTAAGCCAGAGCAGTTTGATGCAAATAAATGTATGGTGTCTATTTTCTACAAGTAATTTTCCCCCTCTATAAAAGTGGGTTATGGGCAAATTAGTTCTAAATGAACTGTGTATACTTTTAGTAATTCATATAATAAAATATTGCTACAACAATTTAGGATAACACGAAGTATACTCTTAAGGACCTTATAACAACATGTATCAATGCACTGGTTAAAGTTTAAGGTGTTTCTGATAAAATCTGACTCATCTTGCAAACTTTTGCCTCTCTGTATAAATCACTATTAAATACTGAGGAAACAGGAAAATTCTCTGTTCTCCAGCAACTAGTAGTCTTATGTAAATGAATTTACTAGATAATCTGATATTACCTAAGGTACTTACTATCATAGTAATAAGGAAAATAACTTACAGAGAAATATCTGGTTAATTCTGCCCAGACAGATATTGACAACTTCCAAGATTGAGATAAAAACATTTAGAACATTTCATCACCTCACCCCCAAGAAAAATCTTTCAGGATCATCTCGTGTCCCCAGCCCTAGCCAGCCACTAATCTGCTCATCATAGATATCTGTTGTAGACAATCCCTATGAATGGGATCAAGTGTAGTGTTTTTTGTGATGGATGTTTTTTTCATTTAGCACATTTTTAAGGCACTTTCATGTTGTAGCATATGTTTTGTTTTTTTTTTTTTTTTAAGACAGCCTCCAGGGGCTAGGGATGCAGCTCAGTGACAGACTTCTTGCCTTGTAGGACAAGGGCGTAGGTTTGTTTCATTCTTTATGGCTGAATAATAGCTATTATTTCATTGTATAGATAGGCCACATCTGTATATCCATTAATCAGTTGATAGGCATTCACATTGTTTCTGGCCTTTATATCCTATTAGAATATTTCTTTACAAGTTTTTGTGTAAAGGTATGTTTTCATTTTCTCTTGATTATATAGCTAGGCATGGAGTTGCTGAGCCATCTGCTAACTAATTAATTGATTTGAGAACCTGCCAGATTGTTTTGCAAAATGCCTGTACCGTTGTACATTCCTGCTAGTAGCTAACGAGGTTTCAGTATCTTCACCTTCCTGCCATTACTTTTCATCTGGTGTTTTTATTCTGTTCTTTAAAACTGTTACGGTATCATGGTTTTCCTTGATTATTTACATTAAGCATATTTTTATGTGCTTAATATCTTTTATCTTCAAAAAATATGGAGAGCCTTTGCTCTATTTTAATTGGATCAGCTCTTTTTTGTTTGTAGTTTTGTTTTGGTATTTTTATTTTGAGACAGTTTTGCTGTGTTGCCCAGGCTGGCCTTAAACTCCTGGACTTAAGTGGTACTCCTACCTCAACTTCCCAAGTAGTTGAGACTGCAAGTGTATACCACCACATCCAGGTCTCTGTATTTATCACTGAACTGATCTTTATAGATTCTGGATACATTTCCTTATAAGATACACAATTTGGGTCAGGGGTATAGGTTAGTGCCTTGGCGCCTACCTGGCAAGCAGGAGATCATGAGTTCAATTCCAGTACCAAAAAATTCAACAAAACAAAACAAATACATGGTTTGCAGAATTTTCTTATCCTGTGGACTTTGTTTTTCCCATTTTTGGTGGCATCATTTGAAGCAGAAGCATTTTTAATTTTAACAATTCTATTTAATTACTTTTACTTTTGGAGTTATGTTTAAATCCTTTACTCAGTCCAAGTCTAGAAAGATGTTTTTCATTTACAGTTTTGTAGTTTTAGCTCTTATATTTTAGGTCTTCGATTCACTTTAAGATCATTTTTATAGATAGTTTGAACCAAGGTTCAGGTTCATTTTTTTCACACATGTACAAGGTTTGGTACTTTTTTTTTTGAGACACTGTGTTCAGGCTGGCCTTAAACTCACTTTGTAGCCTAGGCAGGCCTCAAAATCAGGGATCCTCCTGCCTCAGCTTAAGTACTGGAATTACACCATGCTTGACAGGCACCATTCTTGAAAAGGCTGTTCTTTTTCAATTGATCAGTTAACCAAAGATGTCTGGGTTATTACTGAACTCATGTTCCAGAAAAACCCTGTCGGCAGTGTATGAGGTCCAGCCACAAGGTGCTGTGAGGCTCAAGAAAATTGCAGAGTGAAATTTGCAGTCTTAAGCAGCTAGACTAGTGAGTGGATCCTTGTGATTTGCATCAGAGGAAGGGAACTTACAAAGTAGTCCGGACAAATGTGGCTTCATCCAAGTTGGAATGTGTCTGGTCTATCTCCAAGTAACAATAAAGATGTTCGGTACATTGCTAGTGTTTATAATGCCAACATTTAATCATAAAACATTACTATTAATGGTTTTTAAATATGCATCTGAAAAGTACTGGAAACCAAGGAAAATCAATCCAGATTGAGCAGGGGCGATCATAGTGGTTACAGCTGAAGTTATCCCAAGCTGAACCCACACCTTTCAGCCGCATCACAGACTTCAAAACCTCATCTGCTACCCTCTGTAGCAGTGTGCCCTGAACTTGCAAGATGTCTTAGTATTGTGTTTGCAGCACACTATCAGGCATTTATACACCATATACACGTACACACCAGGGGTAGCGACACGAGCACCAAGAGACAATCCTTATGCAAATAATTTATTTTCTACTAAGAATCTCAGGAACCAAACCAGTGACCTGTATGTCTCTCCTAGAAAGGGCATTGATTCGGGTTTTCACATGTGATACAGGGTGTGTGGCATCAAAGGAATGTATACACATTTTGTCTTGATAACACATTTTAGGGGATACTGTAAAGACCACAGCTGGAGACTAAAGTAAATTGAGACTTTAGAGGAACTTGTATAACTGCACCATCCAGCAGGACACCACTCTTAACTGGTATAGCAGAGTGTACTGTACAGAACCAGTGAGACGGAGTCTATGAATGATGCCAGAAACATCGAGGTAGCATGCCAGACAGGGACCAATTTAGGACTCAGAGACATTTTGTTCACTCGTGAAGAGTTCAGATCCAACAAGATAGAGGGGAATCAAGTTAGCAGGGACTCCTCATGCAAGAAACAGCTGACTCATGCAGGAGGAAAAAACCACTTGCACCCCCACAGAACTGTCCCCTCCCCAAGCCCAATGTTCACAGTGTAATTAGAAGTGCCTTGTGTCTGTGCATCAACTCTGGCTGGCAGGACAGCATCTGGATGTGTGCACGTCTGGGGTAGGGTCTGGAGCTCTGAGCTGATCTGAGGGGCAGGCTCACCGGTCATATGGGGTATTTACATTTAAGGTCTGCTTGTATCAATGGGCTTGTACTAAGTTGCTTTTCCCTGCAGCCTGCTGCCTGAGCATTAAGCGGTAGGTGAAAGTACAGAGATACACCATGTGTTTAGACCCAGCCCTGGGCAGCATGTCCTCTGAAATGGATGCCACTCACTGTCATGTAGCACAGACCCATACCACATAGGTAACTTCTAAAGACCCCTTTGATAGTCTTGTTAGCTCTCGATAGTCAAGGCTTGTGTAAGGCTGTAGGTGTGTTTGTGTCCTTTGGCAAAGGGTGAACATAACCTGCCAGTCCCTCACAGGTTGGGCAGCACTGTGTATCCCTATGTGGGGCAAAGAATGGGGTGGAGGTGTAAGGACACATGCTATCCAGTCATGGCCGCCATCAAGTCAGTTTTTGGGGGCAATTCTGTCCATTATCTATGTGCTATCCTTTAGCACTTGTATGTCTACTCACTACACACATATCCCAGGATGGTTAGGTTGTTCCCTGGGCCTGCACCTTGGTCACGGCATCCGCCTCTGCCTCCTTATTTCTAGAAATAGCATTCTTAACATGACAAAGTGATTTGTGCCCCTGGTTCATGTAACTACTCCCACCCTGGGTGCCAATGATGGCTCCCAGAAGACTGCCATTCGCTACACAAGGCCTCTGTACACTGCCCGCAGCCACTGGCCATGACTCACGAGTGACTGCCACCCATACCACCTGCAGCTCTGTGCAGCAGCTGCTCTGATTTTGTCCATCTGAGCTGAGCAGTAGCCAAGGGTAGGCTGCACTGCAGTGGCAGAGGGGATGCTGGGCTGCCCCAGCAGGACATCTGTATACTCCGCCTCTTCAGGACTGAGGAGCTACCTCCAGCTTACACTAGTTTGATCATAGAGTCTGACAGCCATTTAGGATGGCGAGGTGGTTTCATAAGTAATGACCCAACACTATCTGCAGCTTGGAGTCAGCTGTTGAGAGGACGCTGTGTTGTAAACACTCCTGACACTTAACTGTCTGTCCAGTCATGGATGGAGGTCTATGCCAACAGGCAGTCACCCGCCCCTTCAGAAAAGGGAGGCCAGCTCGCTCTGTGATGGGGAATTTTCTGGCAGTGGCTCCACGTGCTGTAGGGAATCACGCTGCTAGAAACTGCTGTTCTAAAAAAGTTTGCTTAGACTCAGCTCCTTTCCAGAACCGTGATTTTAAAAGTAGCTAGAGGTAACTTTTGTCCTTGTTCTTGCCAGAGAGCTCAGCTCATGTCACCTGCTGTACTGCTGACATCTGATTGCTTTGGCCCACCTGGAAGAAGGGTACCTAGAGCCTGCACCTGGGCTAGAAAATACTTGTTTCCCAAATGCTTCCTGCCAGGGAGCCATCTCAGTCCCATGTGGCTCCCTTCCTTTTTAAAAATGTTTGGTTTTGTTAGTACATATTTATAGTACACAATGATTACATTTCTTGTGGAGAGTTGATATATGTACATAAAACATCTCAATTCTGTTTACTATCCCTTCCTCCCAGATCCCTGCATTCATTGATCCATTTTCTATTTGAAAAAGATCTCCCTACTTCCTATTTTCTTTTTGAAATTTTATTTAAAGAAAAAAAAGCAAAACAAAAAAGTAGAAATAATACAGAATTTCAAAAAAATAAGCAGAAATCATTTAGTTGATAAATTACATATTGTCATCTTAGAAATAGTTGTTCAAGTTACAGAATTAAAGCATACAAAAGGTACATTCAAACACAGACTGCTAACAGTTCTGTTCAACAATCCAACAAAAACTTAGTAATATGGTTATCAATCCTACACACTTAAACATACATGCAATTATATCCTTTAGAGCACTTTCTTTTCCTCTCTTATTTACAATAGCAAACATTTTGAGTTTTATTACTCCTACAGTTATTTTTTTACACTGGGGAAACAATGTTATATTTATAAATACGATTCTTACTTATTTTGCTTATGAGTTGCCTCCATTTGCCTATGAAGGCCTCAAGAACATTCTTTTTTATAGCTGAGTAATAGTGCACTGTATAAAAATATCACATCTTTTTCATCCACTCTGTGGTTGAAGGGTATTTTGGTTGTTTCCAAGATTTAGCTATTACAAATTGTGCTGCTATGAAAACGGGTGTACATATGTCACTGTGACATGGCCTTTTCAGTTTATCTGGGAAAATACCCAGGAGGGGAATAGCTGGGTTTAATGGAACTTCCAATCCTAGTCTTCTGAGAATTCTCCACACTGATTTCCATAGTGGCCATACCAGTCTACACTCCCACCAACAGTGGAGCAGTGTACCTTTTTCCCCACAGCCTTGCCAACATTTATCAGTTGGTTTCTTGATGGCAGCTATTCTTTCCAGAGTGAGATGAAATCTCAATGCTGTTTTAATTGCATTTCTCAAATGAGCACTGATGAAGAACATTTCTTCATGTATTTATTTGCCATTTGTATATCTTCATCTGAGAACAATGTGTGTTCGTCCAGATGCCCATTATTAGAGAGGATTTTTGAATTTGGTGGGCTTGATGTTTTTCAATTTTTTAAATGTTCTGGATATAAGTCCTCTGTCTGAGGGGTTGCAGGATAAAATTCTTTCCAATTCTGTGGGTTTTCCTTTCACTCTGTTGGTGATTTCTTTAGAAGTGCAGAGACTTTTCAATAATGAGTTGTTGATTCTTTGAAGTGTTTCCCATGCAGTTTGTGTTTTGCTCATGAATTCTCTGCCTATTCCTATGTCTCCAAGACTTCTACCTACCTTGTATTCCAGTAGATGTAGTGTTTCTGTTATAATATTTAGATCTCTGACCCATTTAGACTTTAATTTTGTGCATGGTGATAGGCATGGATCTAGTTTCAGTCCGTGCCCAGCTTGGCACTTTCCTTTTCATAGTGTGATAAGTGGCATTCAGTAAACAGCTGCTCCAAAACCCACAGCACTTTTGAAGCATGTGCATAATCACATGGCAAGCTGCAAGCATCTCTCATACAGACACCCATCACCCCCTTCCCCAACACACACACACACACACACACACACACACACACACACACACACACAGAGATGGTCAACCTGGGATCTCCCCTATGGAAACTTCTTTTCTCTCCCTCACATCCTCATTGTCCTGGCTGCCTTACTGATTGTTCCAGAAGACCCAATCCTGATGTATGAGAACTGATCACAAGATGCTGTGAGGCCAAAAGGTGCAGACATCTAGGATTTCACAGAGTGAAATTCACTGGGAACTTATTAACAAAAGCATGTGCAGGTGGCAGCAAGACAAGTGGATGTCCACAATTTAAATCAAAAGAAGGAGGTTTGTAGAGCAGTCAGGACAAAAGTGTTTCATCCACACTGATAGGTACCTGCTTTATCTTAAATTCATATCAAAGATGCTGGGCACATTCCTGGTGCCAGCACACCATTGTCTGGTAATACAGTGCCATATATCATTCTGATGGCTTTATTTATAGTATACTGGCAGGGAAAGCTAACCAGATTACCTAGGGGTCATCGTGGTCATTATAATGTAAGATGGCCACAGACAGGTCAAGCTGGCTCCCTGCAACTCCCAATTCTGTTACATTAAACTCCGTGTCTGCCCTTGTGCCAGAACCACACTGCGTTTATGATTGTTGATTTGCAGTGAGTTGTAAATCAGGAAATATGATTCCTATCTTTTCCTTCGTTTCAAGACTGCTTCACTGAGCTGGGTCCTTTGCAAGTCTGTATGAATTTTAGAATCACCTTGTTTCCTTCTACTAAATTATCAGTTGGGATTTTGATAGGGATTGCAATAAATATGTACACCAGTTTGGAGAATGGTGACATCTTAAACAAGGTTAAGTCTTCTCATTCATGAACAAAGGGTGTTTTTCCAGTTTTCAGATCTTCTTTAATTTTGTGGGGGGATTTTTGTTTAGAGATATGCTTTGCTTTGGTTTTTTATTTGTTTGTGATAGCTTCTTGCTATATCTTCCAGTCTGGCCTTGAATTCATTATATAGCCCAGACTGGCCTCGAATTCATGGGCAACCTCCTGCCTCAGCTTCCCAAGTGCTGAGATTACAGGCATATACCACCATACCTGGCTACATTTTCTTTAGTTTATTTGAATAATTTTATAATTTTGAAAATGTTTTAAACTTCTTTTGTTATATGTATTTTAATCTTTTGATACTATTGGGAATGGAGTTGCTTTCTTAACTTTATTTTCAAAACGTTTGTTTAGAAATACAGCTTGCTTATTTATTTATTTGGTACTGGAGGTCAAACTCACAACCTCGCACTTGCCAGGCGGGCGCTTATACTAAAGCCCTGACCCAACAGTTGGCTTTGTATATCTATCTTGATTCTATAGCTCTACTGAATTTAGTCTTGACAGTTGTTTTTAGGGGATTCCCTAGATCCTCTATGTATGAGATTATTTTTCATCTATAAATACAGATAGATATAGTCCTATCTTTCCTATCTGAAAGCCTCTTGTCTCTTTTTCTTACCTAATTACCCTGGCTACAATCTCCAGGATCATGTTGAAGAGCCAAGAACAGAAATCCTGATATTAAGCCGGTAACGTTCAGTCTGGGCCACTTTGTATGAGGTTAGCTGTGAATTTCTTGTTGTTGGCCCTCATCAGGCTGAAGAAAGTCTATTTGACTCCAATCTTATTGAATGGTTTTTGCCATGAAAACATCTTGGATTTTGTCAAATGAGCTTTCTAAAGCATCTGTTGAGATAGGTGATTTTCGCTTTTTATTCTATTGATATAATGTATAATGAATATCGAATTAATATTCATTATTTTTCAATGCATTCAGGATTTTTTTTTGGTCAGGGGTAAAGTGGCATACACAAATACACACATTTCTCTAGTTCTCTAGAGAAATGGACTCACTGTGCCACACAGAGGCGCACGGCGGGGGGGGGGGGTGTCTCTGCAATCACACAGGAGCCAAGGGGGATCATGGCACATAGGCTCTGTTGTGGTTTCCTTGGGGAGAAATGGGCAAGACACAGCAATCAGATTTGAACCAGCTTTAGATTAGGTAATATGAGTAATTTTGGTGGGCTCTGGGTTAATGGGGGTGTTAGTTGTTCAGTACCTGCACTTAAGGTGACTTAGGGCAGGAAATATAGTGAAAGGTGGCTTTGTATCTGTGGTCTGGACCCAAAAGCCAGATTGTTCCCTATCCCTAGGAACTAGATAGCCAACTCTGGGAGAGGCAGTGTCTTCAGGTCCCTGGAAATCAAAGCGTAACATACAGAAAATAAAACCCATGAGCTGGGCATGGTGGTTATGCCTGTAGGGTGTGTAGGCTCTGGCGCACTGAGTCTGAGGGACACCCCTGCCCCAAGATCCAAGCTCTCAGTGGGGGTGGAACTCTCAGCTTGTCACCCTGGTGTTGAACCACCATCTCAGATGAGAGACACAAAAGGTAAGGACTTCAATGTTCTCAGCATGTATGACCAAACTACAGCCCCCATTCCATGAGTTGGGAAGAAGGGGGAGCCCCGCCTAATCTAGGGTTTAATCTCAGCAATAGAAAGGTGAGACAGGAGGAGACACATTGATGGCCTGATCCTTCTGGGGTGAAAGACGTCCACTGGGGGTCAGAGCAGATTGGGGGCCTTGTGCTTTTGACTGCAGCCGCCCAGAGGGGAGTCTCTATATTGGCAAATTGCCACAGAAATGTGTGACATGGCCTTGCTTCATTACCAACAACTTTGTTTTCCTAAGACGTCTGTACTTGTTCCATTTCTTTATTTGCTGTTTGTCCTTAAGATATTTCCAGAGACTTTAAATGGTTATCATTGACAATTTCCCCAGTTTCAACTGGGAGAAAGGCCTTGGAAGTGGACCTCTTCACAGCTGTGCCTATTGCTATTACAATGACCGTGAGGTGGAGACCCAGCTATGCTCAGGAAGTTAATATGGCTTGAGGCAAGATCCTCAAACATTCCAAGGGGTTACAGGAACCATCACGTGTCATACCAGCTGCTAAGGATAACATGTTTTGAAAAAAATGGATTAATGGTAGGTTCCTAGCTTAACTTTCTACGAGGTATAAAGACTTGCAAAACAGTTGTCTTGTGTAACAAGGAAAACTGTGTGTGACTGACTCTGACTTTGTAACTTGACTGTAGAGAGAGAAGAATTCTGGGAGCAAATGTGTGATTTCCATGCACTCCAGAACCACAACCACCATAGAAGACCCTAAGAATCCAGGGCATGTGAAGACATTTACTTTTGACTCGGCATATTGGTCTCACGATGGATTTCAAAAGGACAAAGATGGTGTGCTTATTTCAGCTGATCCTACTAGTAAATTTGCAAGCCAGGTAAATTGTTTTAAAATGGTTTAAATGGCAAGGTTTTTTTTTAGTATTTTTCTTTGCTTTATTTTTTGATGTATTGCTATACCGTAAGCACGTCAGTAATTTTCATGCAAGTATACATCAATAATTCCATCTGAGAGTTTTAGCTTTAATTGATTCCTTTTTCTAAGTTGAATATGAAGTCCAAAAATGCAACTTCTGTCTAAATAATTTTTAGAGATTCAAATTAGTTGCTTTGGGGACTGGGGATTTAGCTCAGTGACATGCAAGCAGGCAGTCATGAGTTCGATCCCCGGCACCAATAAAAAAGAAAAACACACACACACAAAAATTAGTTGCTTTGACAAGGTGTGGGTATACTTTGAAAACAGAAAGGCAATCAAATTAATTATATTTTGTCTCCCTGAACTATGCAAAATAAGGAAAATTTGTGAGATGCTCACCATTTAAGAACTTGTACTTTATTGTGTGTTTATATGTGCAATATTGCTGTCTTGAAGCTTCTTACAATTTTGTTGGCGGAGACAGGCAAGTATATGCATTCGAATGCTCACGATGTGTGATAATAGTGTGCTGGAATTTAATGGGGTACAAAGCAGACGTGGTCATTTCAATCTGGTTGGGGTACTTTGGGGTCATTTATTAAAAGGTATGATGTTTGAACTATTTTGAAAGACACATAGGGACATGAGAGGAACAGGTGGAAAAACCGTAGGGGAGAGGAGATAAACCAAACTTCAGCGGCCTCTGGAGGCTGTCTCAAGCACTTTTGCAATTGAAGTCATGGAGAGAATAAGGGAAGGTGGACAAAACAGAAGAAATGATGACTAAATTTTTTCCAAATTTGATGGAATCTATAAACCCACAGATCCTTAAAGCTTAATAGGCTCTAAGAAAAATAAGTATAGAGAAAACATAATGAGTCCTATTTTAATTATATTGCTGTAATTCAACGAGAGTGGAAAAGACAAACATTAATATGATTACAAAACTCCCAGTTCACAAAGCTCCTGAAAAGGTCTCATGAACACCAGGATTATACCTTAATGCCTTAAAGCAGTCAAGAAAAAATAAAGCAGAGGTGTAACTAACTAATGAATCATGTGTGGCAAAATATAAAGCATTCCCAATCCAGTACACAGGAAAAGAAAGAGAAGATGGGATAAGTTGAATACGAATCATAAGTCAGATTTAATACTATGACAAATATTATATTAAATATAAATGGTCAAAATATACCTATTAAGTGCTATGGTCAGATCAGATAAGAAAAACAAAATCCAACTGTATCTGTTTATATAAACCTGATTTAAATATAGGGAAATACATGTATGTCATGAAAATACTAAAACTAGATAGGGCACATTTATGTCACACAAAGAAGACTTCAGAACAAGAATCTTTTCATAACAATAAAGAATAATCACTTTATTAAACATAACCAGAGCCAGGGATATAGCTCAGTGGCATAAGCGCCTGCCTGGCAAGCACAAGGTCCTGCGTTAGATTCCTGGTACCAAAAAAAGAAAAAGAAACCATAATCATACTACATAGATATGCACTTAATAACTAAAAAATCAAAGTCCATGAAGTAAAACCAATAGAAGTGGAAAAAAGCATAAACAAATCTATGATAATGTGTTGTGATTTCAACACTCCTATCCTAGTAACTAATTTAAAAATCAGTAATTTTATGGAAGACTAGGAAACTGCTACAACCTAGCTGATCATCTCTAATGAAGCACTCAGTCACAACACTACCCATTCTTTTCAAGCGCAAATAGATTTATAATAACAGACCATATTCCAGATCCTAAAGCTAGTCTGAATAAACACAAAATGACTGAATCATTTTATTCTCTGACCACAATATAATTCAGCCAGAAGGAAATAAGAGAAACATATTTAGAAAACGACAGATTTATACATAATTGATAGGTTAGTAGGAAATCACAGGGGAAACTGCCCCGCTTGGACTGCGTTCCCAAGCTCCTGTGTGCATGATGGTGAGGCCCTGACACGCCTGTTAGGTCACCTCAAGGGCTCCCCGCACTGTCCTGGGCCCAGGTTCCTGAGCTGGCCCGTTTCCCTGTTTCTTTCTCTCATGTCCCCATTCTCTCCCCTCCACCCTGAGAGGACTCGCAGGTCCGTTATTTATTCTCACAAAACAGACTCAGACAGAAACTAGAAAAGATGTTTTGAACTGAATGAAAATCCAAACAAATAGCCATATCTGTGGGACGAACCTAAAGCAGGTTTTAGAGGAGACTGCACGGCACCAACGCTTATATTAGAGAAGAATAATCTCAACATTGTAAGCTTCTCCCCAAAATCTTGGGGGAAAAAAAGGAAATTAAACAAGTAAGGTGGAGGGACAAAAAACAATAGCAGTGATAATTAATTCAATAAGAAGTGTAATGCAATAAAGAAAAATTAATGAAACCAAAATCTGTTTCTTGGAAAAGATAAATAAAATTGATGACACTTGGCAAAACTGATCCAAGAAAAAGGGATATAAAATATGAAGATCAGAAATGACTCTACAATAGCTATTAACAGACTCATCAGAGCATATTATGCACAATTTAATGCCCGTATATTCATCAATACAGTGATCATGGGCTCCCAAACTTTACTCAAAGAAATGGATATCTCAAGCAACCCTCTGTCTATTAAAGAAATTAAAATTATAGCTAAAAACTTCATGGAGAAAACTACAGTCTTGATGCCTTCACTGGTGAATTCTACTGGAAGAAAAAATAATGAGATTTTTAAAAAATCTTTTATGTGATAAAAGTAACAGTTCCCATCAAACTTTTTGAGTACTGTATTATACCAAAAATAACCAAACATAGTACAAAAATATGACAGGCCAATATCTTTTCTGTTCATAGACACAATAGTCACAATGTAATTGTAGTAAACAGAACTTAATAATATATTTAAGAATAACACATCATTACTAAATGGGGCTTTTTTCCTAGGAATATAAGATTGGCTTATGATTTGAAAGTTCTGGTGGCTCATGCCTGTAATCCCAGCACTCAGAAGGCTGAGGCAGGAGGATCGTTGCAAGTTCAAGACCAACCTGGGCTACAAAAGTAGTGAGCTCAAGGCAGCCTGCACTGCATAGGGAGACCTTGTCTCAAAAAGACAAAAAAAAAAAAAAAAATCTGAAAGTTCATGCAATTCATCATCTAATCAGAATAAAGGAGACAAATATATATTATTGGGTGTAAAAAATAATTTTACAAAATTTAACTCCAAGCATAATTTTCATAATTTTAAATACTCTAAGGAATCTTGAGCTAAAAAGGAAATGGAACTATTTTGAAAAACATGAGTTACATCACGTTTGATGGAGACATGTGTTCTCCCTATGATTGGGAACAAGGAAAGGTTATACATTCTCATTGTTTCTGTATGATATTTACACAAATCTCTGGCAGAACAATGAGACAGCGAGTATGAAATAAAAGGTATGCATACTGAAAAGGAAGAGTAAAACTATTTGCAGGTGACATGATTATCTAAGTGAAAAACATCCTAAGTGGTCTACAGAGTGTAGGGGAAGTTATCACTGTCAATAAGTTTGTTTAAAAAATTAATAAACATCTGTTAGAAGTGGTGGCTCATGCCTGTAATCCCAGGCTTAGGAGGCTGAGGCAGGAGGATTTCTGTGAGTTCAAGGCCATCCAGGCTACATAGTGAATTATGTAGTGAGACCCTGCCTCAAAAATCCAAAAAAAAAAAAGAAAGAAGAAAAGTTAATATACAAAAACTCAGTAGTATTTCTCTATATGAGCAATAAACAAATGAAAATTGATATTTTGAAATATTTCCAATTGCATCAAAAACATGAAATATGTGAAGGATAAATTTAGCAAAATATGTGCAAAAACTGTACCAGTGAATTACTGATATTAGTACTTAACAGAATCCAAAGATCTACATTTTTAGAAAGTCAGATTAATCAAAAGATTCAAAAAACAATCCCAATCTAAATAGCAACAGGCAGTTTTTACAGACATTTACATAAACTCTTTCAATAACTTACACACAATTATAAAGGATTTTTTTTTTTATTCTGGAAATCCACCTCAGGGCTTGCTCTTGCCAGACAGGCGCTGTGCAAGCTACACCCCACCCCCTCCCTTAAAGGATTTAAAATAGCCCGAATTATTTTGAAAGAGAATAAAGTAGAAGTTAAAACCCACTATAAAATTATGTAACCAAGATAGCCTGGTACTAGCTTAAAGATAGAACTTTAGATCAATGAAGCAGAAGAAAGCCCAGAAGTAGACTCCCCGTGTCTTCTAACGCTGGGGTCTAAACAGGGACTTTTCTCTGTGCTACATCCTCAGATTTTATTTTAAATGTTGCTAAGGTGCTAGGCGGTCCAGGCTGGGCGCCAATTTGAGATTGTCCTGCTTCAGCCTCCAGAGTGCTGAGATTATGGATGGGTATATGCCACTATGTCTGGCTCTGATTTTCTCCAAGGGGGGTTGAATAGTGTCACCACCACCATCAGAATTCATGTCTACTTGACACTCAGAATGTGACATTAATTGGAAATGGGATCTTTGTGGATGTAAATAGTTAAAATGAGGCCACACTAAGTTAAATGTGTGCTAAGTCCAATATTTATAAGAGAGACATTTGGACTTTCGGGCACAGGGACAGCCCCGTGTGTCCAGGGACACTGGACACAACAATTGGACACATGCCCTGTGACCCAGGATTGTTGGGAGCTGCCCACAGCGAGGAAGAGGTGAGGAAGGGTTTTTCCTAGAGCCTGCAGAGAGACCATGGCCTTCTCAGAACCTTGAGTTTGGGCTCTTGTCTCCAAAACTATAGCAGAAGACTTTCTGTCATTTTCAGCCATCCAGTTTAGAATATAATCTTGTGCCATGTTTCAGTCAATGATGGGCAGCGGACACAAAGATTATAATGGAGCTGAAAAATCCCTGTTGCTTAGTGAGGTCCTAGCTGCCCAGGGTCATAGGGCAGCGCAATTCTCATGTTTGTGTGATGATGCTGGTGTCAAAGAAAAGTGTATAAAGGTATAGTGATATAATTATGTACAGCTTATAACCTTGATAAATTATAGTAAATGACTATCATTGCCTTACATATTTACTAAATCATATCTTATCATTTTGTTTGAGACAGGATCTTGCTATGTAGCTCAGGCTGGCCTTGAACTCACCAGGTAGCCCAGGCTGGCCTCAAACTCATGTGATCCTCCTGCCTCAGCCTCTCAAGTGCTAGACTACAGGCACGCACCGCCATGCTCAGCTTTTCTGCCATTATTTTAGAATGTACTCCCACTTATGAAAAGGTTACTGTGACATACTATGTGATATTCTGCTGACAGAAGCCCAGGGCCTCACTCATACTAGTCCAGGGCTCCACCACTGAGCTACACCCCAAGCCCCAAGCTCCCCCTCTTGATGCTTCTTACACCTCTGGAAACAAGGTGGGACCGAGCCTTTTAACACATGAGCTTTTAGGGAACAGTTCAAATCCGAGCTAGAGCAGCCCTTACGGATACAGACGTGCGTAGGAGAGATGCTTCAGAACTTCTAGATCTGGCAAAAAATAGAGAGAAAGCTCGCCCACAGGGGCCCAAAATGAGTGTGGATATTCTGTGCTATGATTGCTCAGGATAAGAATAAAAAAGTAGAAAATGCTTTGGCTGGGCTCAGTACCTTGAGCTTATTTATTTTTTGGTCTAGTTGATTAATTTTAAAGACCTCACATTTCATCGAGGCTGTAAATAGATAAGCTGATGGGTGCCAGGCAGCTGGGGTTGCGTCTGACTGGGCCGCACGTGTGAGCCAGGTGGCCTCATTGGCAGATTCCTTCTTGCTTTCCAGTTTTATCCCTGACAGAGCATCTGGGTTGTATTTTGAGTAGGTCATGGGCTACTGATTAAGGTGGACTTTATTAAAGCCAGAATAGTTTTCAGACTTCGCGGGTGCTGTGAGAAGTAGGCAAACCTAGAGACCCATGGCCCTGGCTCTGCTGGGCTACGACCCCTGTCGCCTCTTTCCAGAGAGATGTGTTCCATGACATCGGGAGGGGCATCCTGGACAGTGCCTGGCAGGGCTACAACGCCACTCTCCTGGCCTACGGACAGACTGGCGCTGGAAAGAGCTACTCCATGGTTGGCTTTGGTGCCGACAAGGGTGTTATTCCAAGTGTGTGTGAAGAGCTCTTTGAGGCCATTGAGAAGCAGGAGCGAAGTCAAGACTATCAGGTAGGCATCACTCTAAAATCTCTTCTCTGAAGAATGACATTTTTTTAATTCATGTTGGGAACCTTCCCCACATGGAAGGTGTCAAGACTTTCACTTCAAGTTTTGTGGTCATTTTTAGATTTGAGAAGTTGGTTTTGTTTTGTTTTTTGTTTCTGTGTTTAGGAGACAAATGCTCAATATGCAGTTCAGGATGGCCTCGAACTCACTTTGTAGCCCAGGCTGGCCTCGAACTCACAGCAGTCCTCCTGCTTCAGCCTCCTGAATGCTGGGATCACAGGCGTGCACCGTGATGCCCAGCTGTTTTTTTTTTATTTTTGTTTTTCCTCTACTGAGGATTAAACTAAGGCCTCATGCATACTAAGCATACACCTACCACTGAAATACAGTCCCTCAGTATCTTTGTTAATTTTCCACACCAAAATGTTTATGTATTAACAAAATCACATTATAGGCAAAGATGTTGAATTTGTCAAGTTTTATAGAGGCAAATCCAAGGACATTTTTTAATGTTTTTTTTTTCAAGCTGGAGATGAAACCTAAAGCCTTACACCTCTGAGGCCAGTACTCTGCCACTGAGCTACAGCCCGACCCCATGGAATCGGCTTTAAAAGACACTTTGGGTGTCATAGAAGCAATCATTTAATTGCTGGCACTAACGAGTTCTTCTTGAGGTTGTAACACAAACATTACCTGTTAAAATTTACAGATTTCTTTGCCACATTCTTTTACCATAGTGGTGGACATGTTTTTGTTTAAATTGATTTGTTTTATTCCTAAATAAAGAATGCTAGTTTGTTGGGTTTTTGTTTTGGGTGCTGGGAATTGAACCCAGGATCTCGTTCATGGTAAACCCATGTTCTACCACTTCAGTCTACCCAGGACCGAAGAATTTTAGTTTGTTATTTGTTCTGGTGTAATTTCTTATTTGCTCTGGCACAAAAGATTCAAGATTCAGGTTTAGATTCAGGGAAGGTTTGTGGTATTTTCCAATGGTTAATGTCACCATTAACATGATTAGCCTGAAAATACGACAGTAAAATGACAATACCTGTAAGCATAGTGTCTAAATGGCAGAAGAAATTAAACTGGTGTTATGAAAATTCAAAAGTGCCTTCTCATTTTTCATTTTATTTTTCTGATTTTTTGTTTGGTATTTTGAGACCGGATGTCACTATGCAGCCCTAGCGGGCCTTGAACTTGTCGCAATTCTCCTGCCTCAGCCTTCCAAGTACTGGGATTTTCTGATTTTAAAAGGAATGTGTTTAAATTATAGCACAGAAATTACTCCTGATCTCATCGCCCAACTAAATACCATTATTCCTGTTCTCCTCCCTCCAAGATCGAACCTCGAGCCTTTGCGTTGAGCTACATCTTCAGCTCTTTTTTATTTTTATGTTTTATTTTGAGACAGGCTCTCACTAAATTGCTAACTTGCCCAGGTGGGGCTTGAATTTGTGATCCTTCTGCCTCAGCTTCCCAGGGCACTGGGATTACAGATGTGTACCATTATACCTTGCTTCTTAAATTTCTTTCAAGACAAGGTGTTGCTTAATCTGTTCAATCTGGCCTTGAAGTCACTGTGTAGCTCAGGCTGGCCTCAAACTCATGGGAACTCTTCTGTCTCAGCCTCCTGAGTGTGGGATTACAGATGTGTGCAACCACACCTGGCAGGTTCTTGTATTTTTAATTTTAAAGTTTTCAAAGTGATACAAGTACGGTTTAAGATCTCAAATATTCAAGAAAAAGGAAAGCATATGTTCACACAAAAACTTGTGCATGAAGCATAGTCAAAAAAGCCAAAAAGTGGGAACAACCCAAATGTCTATCAAATGATGAATAATAAATAAAATGTGGAATAGCCATATAATGGAATATTAATAGCCTTAAGGAGGAATGGAATTTTAGCACCCACTACATGGACAAAGGTCATGTATTGCTTGCTTGTATTTTTATGAAATGGTCAGAAACAGAGTCTATTTAGGTAGAAAGATTAGTGGTTCCTAGGGCTAGGGGTCGGGGGGAGGACGTAGAGATTGGGGAGTGCTGATGGGTTTCTTTGTGGGGGCAGTACTTTCTGAGCAGGCACTGAGGTGCTGCTTACACAGCTCTGTGAATCAAACCACCTCTCAGTATCCCTGGGGATTTGTCCCAAGACCACCAACTCCACAGCCCTCGTGGACCCCACATCTGTGCAGGTTCAGTCTCTTGTTACAGTAGCGTCTATTTCATAGAACCTGCATCCATCCTCCTACATACTTAAAATCACGCCTCAGGCACATACAATAACATAATTCAATGTAAATGTTACACCGCACTGGTTAGGGGAGAGATCTATGTTCAGTTCAGACACAATTTTTTCCAACCATTTTTGACCCGTCCTTGGTTTGACTCATAGACCTGTGGGTTTGGACTGTCAGTCAGATCCCCAAAACCACTGAATCATATCTTTAAATAGATGAACTGTATACAGACATTTCAATAAGGCGGTTTTAAAAACCACTCAGACAGTACTGAAAGCCTCATATCATGGAAAACACCAGCTTCTTGTCATCCCTGTCTCCTTCCATTGCTGCCTGGTTCCCATCTCCAGCTGCTCTGCTACCTATCCAGCTCCTATTTAAATGTAACATTGCCCTTTCTCTTCTTAAAAAGCCTTTTGGATAGTAACTATCATCTTTCCAACACAGTAGAAGACAATTTAACTCGGCCACACCCATAGCTCCCACCGCGATCCTTTCTCTCTCCCTATTCTTGCATAGTTGTGAGTTTTATTATAAATCTACACAGCCCCCAATTTATGAATATTCAGGTTGTGGACTTCAACAGATACCAACGGATTGTGCATTACATTTGAAGATTGGAACAAATTGCAGAAGTAGCTCCTGTGTCTGCTGGACATCGTGGCGGTTGTGGTGCTGTGTGTTCACTGCACAGTGCGGTAGTGTACAGCAGTACAGGGCTCAATCAGAGCCCAGGATGTCCGGAAGCAAGAGGAAAGCAGTGGTGATGTGATGGGGACCACAAGGATGTGCAAAGTGATAACCATGGAAACCAAAGTGGGCCTAGTTGAGAGACTGGACTGAGGTGAAAAGATGGTAGACGTCACTTGTTCTTATAACATGAATCATTCAACCACTGGCACAATTCTAAAGAACAAGGATGAGGTCATGGGGCACGTGAAGTCTGCTGTGCCTAAGTCACTTTGTGAGACTTAGGAGCAAATCTGAGTTACGAACCTCTTCCCAGAATGGAACACATTTGTAAATCTGGAAGTTACTTTAGTAATTAAGATTTTAAATTTATAATGATTTCTATCTGTGCAAGTGTTGTTGACTGCTGAATCCAGTAATGCACAAATCCATTCTATTCTTTGTTTTTCTTAGAATTTTTAGTAGCCTTTGACTTTTGTGTTATATCTATTTTCTATAAACTTGTTTCCTAAATGTTCTAAATCCCTGTCATATACTCTTTAGTAATATTTTCTATATCCCAGTCACATCAGCTTCGTATTTTCTTTGGTTCTCCCATTTTTATTGAGAAGGAGGGCTCTACTCTTCTTCTATGGCTTCAAGCAGTGTTTCCCCAGGTTTGTTGCAAATGCTATAGGGGAACTTTACTTCAACATTGTTCTTTCTTGGCTCCTAACTCTCACATACAGTGTATTCCCCCTTTTTGGCTTATCCTATCCTTTTGCTGCACTTTCCTCCAGAAAGGCTGCATTTGTCACACATTTGTTGGCGTCCTCGTAGCAGAAACTCTCTTTTCTTGCCTTCACACTTGCAGTTTCCCAGGATGGAACTGTATGTAGCTCTTTCCCATCAGACTTCTTTCCATTGTCTTCTAAGTTCCAGTGTCTCACCTGAGAAGTCTGCTGTACTCTGACTCCCACTTTCTGCATGTGATCTTTTTTTGTGTTGTCTCTCTTCTGCAGTTTGAGACCTTCTCTTTGTACTACTGATGTCCTCGTATGTCCTTCTCATTCATCATACGGGACACCCCGGGGACTCTTTATAAAGTGGAGATTCCTATCCTTCAATTCTGGGAAACTTTTTAAATATTGTTTCTCTTACCATTTTCTCCCCTCTGTGTCTTTTGTTTTCCTTTTTTGTAAATTCTAATTGGATTGTGAGCCTCACATTTTATAATTTTATTATCTTTTAGCACCTAATTTCAATTTCTTGTTCTTTTTCTTCTGCATTCTAAAAGACCCCTTCAACTATGTTCTTCTATATTGGCTGTCATTCATAAATTTAATTTACAAGTATCTTGTTTATTCTCTGTCTTTTTAAAAAATAAAATCTTTTTGTGGATTGTCTTTTTGAAGCTCTTAATTATAGTGTTTTTTAAAATGTTTTCTACACATTGCCAGTGTTCTCTGAGTTCTTCATAATTGTTTTGATCTCTATCATATTAGAGACTTTCCTTGTCTGTTAACCTTTGGCCATTTGGCCGGTTTTACATGAAACACTCTGAAGCTGGTGTGGGAAGCTCAATGGCAATGAGAGGTGATTGGAAAGCGCATCTCAGGGCAGCCAGCAGACCAGCTGGCCTTTCCATGGGTGTGAGGTAGCAGATTTCAGGCTTTTTTTTTTTTTCCTGAACTAAAAACACTCAGATTTTTCCAATCAATCCTGCTTAAGAGACTAGCAATAGTTTAGAACTAGCAATGGTCCAGAACCATACAATGATAAAAAAAATCTTTTCCTCTACATCTGGTCAGAGAGAGAGAGAGAGAGAGAGAGAGAGTGAGAAATTGAGACTGAATTTCATACATGTGTACTGTTATACGTACAGTATACATACATAGTGTTCTGTTTTAAATTTATACAAAGGACCTCTCCAGTGTCATTAAAAGTACTTGAGAACCCAGTGCATGTTGAAATAAGGGTCCAGTATATTTGATATTAGCTTTCTGTTTGTTGGGCATTTCTGTAATTTCCATGTCACATTTTCCTCTTTTAACAGAGTACTTACTTGTATTATTCTCTATGCAGGTCACATTCAGTATGCTGGAAATTTACAATGAACAGGTAACTGAGATTACATTTTCTTTTCTCTTTTTTTTTCTCCGGGGGTGGGAGGCAGTGTGGGGATCAACTCCAAGGCCTTGCACCTGCTAAGCATGTGCTCAGCCACCCACTTACACTCTTAACATTAGAGATTTTATTTTCTGACAGACTCGAGTGACTTTCTGCATCCTAATTAACCATCAGGGATTCCCAATCACTTATGCTTCAGAGCAGCCCTTAATCCCCAAATTGCTTCTCCAGCTTCATTTTAAGTCCTTTTATGTTCAGCCACATCAGTGGCAGGTATGTCTTTTCTCCTTCTCCTCCTCCTTTCATTCCTTCCTTCCTTGTTGGCAGGGCTGGAAGTAGAACCCGGGGCTTAGTAGATGCTAAGGCAAGTGCTTTACTATGGAGCTACATTTTTAGGACTTTCTAATATTTTATTTTGACTCAGGGTCTTCACTAACTCGCCAAGTTGTCCAGGCTGGACTGGAACATGTGCTCCTCCTGCCTCAGCCTTCCAGAGTGCTGAATAGGACAGTTACCTGACTATGACCATGCTCTGCTTCTCACTGGACAGGCTGAGGTCAGGATAGCTGTGTCCTGTCCTCTCCTGGGCTGGGGTGGAACTTGAACGGACCATGGCTCCCTCTGGGCTGCTTGAATCAGCTGCTTGCATTGTGCTTGCTTCTTGAGGACCACTGTGTCACGTTTCCCTTCCTGTGTTCATCAGTTCCCACGGCTCTTCCTCAGTGTCACTGCACAGTGAAATCCTTTCTCCTTCCTTGGCTGAGTCTTCTCATTGCTAAACCACATACGTATTACTTCCATTCTGCCATGTCCCCACGTTCCCAAGCACAGAATTTCTAAAAGCATCTTTTAAAGTCAGGTGACTGTGGATACTGAGTGTCTTGCCCGCTCCATGTCCAGCCCTGACCATGTCAGCCAGCTCTTCAGGGCCCTCCCGGCCAGCGTTTCCTGAGCGCGGACTATGCGCTAGGATCTGTGTGAACAATCATGACCCTCTGTTTAGGAATTTGCGGTTAGGTTAAAGTACTTACGAATGATAAAATCACATTTTATACAATTTTTAAAATTTTTAAAGTTAGCCTTCTGGGCGGGGGATGTGTGGCTCCGTGGCCTGAGTGCCTGCCTGGCAAGCATAAGGTCCTGAGTTCAAGTCCCAGTACCAAAAACATAAATAAATAAATAAGCCCTCTATTTTCACTAGTTACAACCAATTTTCCTGTCTTCTTGCTTACCTGTTTCCCTGTTTTTCAATTAGTTTATTTATGAGGCTGTTTGGTACCTACAGTATTTATTCATTCATCCAGTAAATATGTACTGAACACTTACTATATTGTAGGCAGTAAAGTTGTCTTGAAATTTACGGGTTTTTTGTTCCATTTCTATAGATAAGAGATTTGCTCTCTAGAACCAAGAAGCCTGGGGGGCTAAAAGTCAGGGAAGATCAGAACATGGGCTTTTACGTGGAAGGTCTGACATCTGTGCCTTGTGAAAACTATGCACAAATTGAAAAGCTGATGGAACAAGGAACAAGAATCAGGACCACAGCTTCCACCAACATGAACGCCAGCAGCAGCCGGTCCCACATGGTCACCACCATTCAGTTCAAGCAGGTGAGTCCAGTGAATGCCCTAGTCCTGCCTCCCCGAAGAAGCCACCTCTGCCAAGGTTCCTGGTGCCATCATGTAGTGGATGCTACAGAGTCTTTCCAGATCTGACCCCTGGGTTAAGGTGGCCATGTCTAAACTACAAGGTCAGAAACAAGAAAAAGGGAGGAATCTGCCTCCCACCCCAACACCCATGCCCTGTCCTGGTCTACGTTAGCCCATTGTGGATGGCAGGGCGGTCATCTATCCTTGCACCCCTCAAGATACTGCGGTACCTTTTTCTTTTCTGGAGGTACTAAGATCAGTTCTTTGGAACCAAGGAACTGACTGAGTAAACCAACTACTAAATGTTTGAAACAAGCACTCCACGAAGTAAAGTCTTTGGTAAACCAGGCTGAACTATTTTTCTCCACATTCCTTGGTGGGTATCATTGAGTGAGCTATACAATATCCTCAGCTTGATCTAGAAATGATTATTCCAAGTTCTGTGCGAATGTACAGTTAGCAATGATTGTACCACCTCTGTCCTCCAAGTCACAGTATCAGCAATAAATGAAATGGTGATCAGTGAAAATTATCTTGCACTCACCAGAGTAATGGACACACACTGATTGTGTCTGAATCTTTCATTTAACAGTTCCAGGACTTCTGAGAAATAATTTAATCTCTCAGTTTTCTCTCTTGTAAAATGGTATGAATAGTTTTCTTCCCAGGAAAATTTAGAGGCTTAATTGAGATACTGCATTTTAAAGAACTTTGTGAATGTTTAAGTGCTATTCACTTGCCTTTACAAAGTAAAACACATCAACTTTTACATATGGGGAAACTATATATGAGGCCAGGCGTCTCAGCACTTGCTGTAACCCCAGCTGCTCAGGAGGCTGAGACAGAGGATGGCAAGTGTGAAACCAGCCTAGGCAAATAAGTGAGACCCTGCCTTAATAACAATTCAAAAAGAGCTGGAGATGTAGTTCAGGTTTAGAGTACTTCCTAGCATGTTCCACGCCCTGGGTTCAATCCTCACTACCAAAAAACAAACAACAGTGCCTGTGCATGCAGTTTGCTATGTTATTTTTAACTTCTGATTTTAGGGGTAAAGAAAGTTGAATATTTAGCACCTGCCATCCTCTTGAATGGTGTCAGCAGAACACCTCACACTGTACACCAGGCACATGTTAGAGCCGTTGCATCTGTCATCTTGAACCCCACCCCCAACATTTCAGTAATGTAGTGCTGTTACCATTCTACAACTGAGTTGGCACACAGAAAAGTTCAGGCAACACAACCTACAGAATTCTAAAATTTATGTTCATTTTACCACAGGAGGATTCAATCCTGAATGGTTACTTATTTTGCAGATTTCTTTTTTAAAAATTTTATTTAAAGAGAAAAAACAAAACAGAAAAAGGGTAGAAATAATACATAATTTCCAAAAAAAGACAGTAAAAAGTCACTAGTTGGTAAATTACGTATTGTCCTCTTAGAAATAGTTGTTCAGGTTACAAAAGTAAAGCATACAAAGTAGACATTCAAACAGTGAGTCTGCAAATAGTTCTGTTCAACAAAACATGTAATATGGTCATCAATCTGACACACTTAAACATACATGCAGTAATGTCCTTTAGAGCACTTTCTTTTCCTCTCTTTTTTACAATAGCAATTTACACATTTTGGGTTTTATTACTCCTACATTCTTTATTACTTTTTACACTAGAAACACAATGTGATATTTGTAAATACGATTCTTATTTACTTCAATAATGAGGATAATCTCAAGTTGTCTCCATTTGCCTATGAAGGACTCAAGATCATCCCTTATTAGTAATAGTCCACTGTATAAAAATACCACATCTTTTTCATCCACTCTGTGGTTTATGGGCATCTTTGTTGTTTCCAAGATTTAGCTATTACAAATTGTGCTGCTATGAACATGGGTGCACGTATATCACTGTGACATGACCTTTTCAGTTTATCTGGGGAAATACCCAGGAGGGGAATAGTTGGATTGAATGGAACTTCCAATCCTAGTCTTCTGAGAATTCTTCATACTGATTTCCATAGTGGTTGCACCAGTCTACACTGCCTCTAATAGTGGAGCGGGTTTCCCTGCAGCCTCGCCAACATTTGTTATCAGTTGATTTCTTGATGGCAGCTATTCTTTCCAGAGTGAGATGAAATCTCAATGCTGTTTTAATTGCATTTCTCAGACGAGCACTGATGGAGAACATTTCTTCATGTATTTATTTGCCATTTGTATATCTTCATCTGAAAACTATGTGTGTCCGTCCAGATGCCCATTATTAGAGAGGGTCTTTGAATTTGATGGGCTTGATGTTTTTCAGTTCTTTATATATTCTGTATATAAGTCCTCTGTCTGAGGGATTGATTGCTGGCTAACATTCTTTCCAATTCTGTGGGTTTTTCTTTCACTCTGTTGGTGATTTCCTTAGAAGTGCAGAGACTTTTCAATAATATGAGATCGAAGTTGTGATTCTTTGAAGTGTTTCCCATGCAGTTTGTGTTTTGTTCATGAATTCTCTGTCTACTCCTATGTCTCCAAGACTTCTACCTACCTTGTCTTCCTGTAGATTTAGTGTTTATGTTTTAATATTTAGGTCTTTGATCCATTTAGACTTTGTTTTTGTGCATGATGATAGGAATGGATCTATTTTCAGTCTTTGACATGTGGAGAGCCAATTTTTCCAACACCATTTATTAAAGAGGCTAGCCTTCCAGTGAACATGTTTAGCCCCTTTGTCAAATGTCAGGTGGTTGAGTGTCTTTGTAGTTGTGCTTGCATCTTCTAATCTGTTCCCTTGATCCTCAGGTCTATTTCTTTGCCAGTACCATGCTGATTTTATCACTATAGCTTTGTAGTATAGTTTCAAGTCAGGAATTGAGATGCCTCCTGCCTTGCCTTTGTTGCCCAGAATTGCCTTTGCTGTTCTAGGTTTCTTCTGTTTCCAAATGAATTTTAGGAGTGTTTTCTCCAGATCTGTGAGGTATGTTAATGGTACTTTGATTGGGATTGCATTAAATCTGTATAACAGTTTTGGGAGTATGGCCATTTTCACAATGTTGGTTCTTCCTAGTCAAGAGCAAGGAATATCCTTCCATTTTCTAATATCCTCTTCAATCTCCTTTTTTAGTGTAGCATAATTTTCAGCATATAGGTCTTTTACATTCTTAGGTTGATTACTAAGTATTTCATTTTTTTAGATGCTATTGTGAAGGGCGATATTTCCATAATTTCTCTCAGTGAGTTTTTTATTTTTGTACAGGAATGCTATTGATTATTTTTTTATATTTTTACAGGTACTGAGGATCGAACTCACAACCACAGGATTGCAAGGCAGGCGCTTATGCTGCTGAGCTAAATCCCCAGCCCCAGGAATGCTACTGATTTTTGAGCATTGACTTTGTATCCAGCTACACTGCTGAATTTGTTTATTACCTCTAGTAGTCTTTTAATGGAGTTTTTTGGGTCTTCTATATACAGTATCATGTCATCTGGAAATAGTCATAATTTACCTTCGTCCTTTCCTATCTTTATTCCTTTTATTTCTCTCTCTTGTTTGATTGCCCTGGCTAGTATTTCCAGAACTGTATTGAATAGCAGTGGTGATAGTGGAACCCTTGTCTTGTTCCTGATTTTAGAATGAAAGCTTTCAGTTTTTGTCCATTTAGCATAATATCTCATAGATGGCCTTTATGAGATTGAGGTAGACACCATGTATTCTGAGTTTCTGAAGGATTGTTATCATGAACGTGTGTTGAACTTTATCAAAAGCTTTTTCTGCATCTATGGAGATGACCATGTGGTTTTTGTTTTTGGCTCTGTTGATGTGTGGTATTACATTTATTGATTTGCATATGTTAAACCATCCCTGCGTTACTAGAATGAATCCCACTTGGTCTTGATGTATAATCTTCTTGATGATTTGCTACATTCTATTTGGCAGTATTTTATTGAGAATCTTTGCATCAATGTTCATTAGTGAGATTGGCCAATAGTTCTCCTTTTTGGATGTATGTCTTTCTCTGATTTTGCTATCAGAGTACTGCCTCCAGGTACTTGCCTCCAGGAATGATTTAGGGAGGATTGCTTCCTTTTCAATTTCATTGAAGAGTTTAAGGAGTATTGGAATCAAATCTTCTGTAAACTTTTTGTAGAATTCAGCCATGAATCCATCAGGACCTTGGATTTTCTTTGTTGGTAAGTTTTTAATTACATTTTCCATTTCAATAGCTGATACTGGGTTATTCAAAATTTCTAAATCGTCTTGTTGAGCTTTGTAGTTAGTATGTTTCTAGAAATCTGTCCATTTCCTCTGTGTTTTCCATTCTATGAGTAGAGATTTTCAAAGTAGGTATTCATGATCTTTTGAATTTCCATAGGATCTGTAATAATTTCCCCCTTTTCAGTCCTTATTGTGTAAATTTGGGTATTTTCTTTCTTTTTTCTTGATCAGGTTAGCTAGAGGTTTGTCAATTCTGTTTATTCTCTCAAAAAAACACCAGCTTTTTGATTCATTAATTCTTTGTATTGTTTTTTTTTAGTTCAATTGCATTTATTTCTGCTGTAATTTTTACAATTTCCTCTCTTCTATGAGCTTTGGGTTTAACTTGCTCTTCTTTTTCTAGAAGCTTGAGATGAAGCATTAGGTTGTTTATTTTGCTTCTTCTGTTTTCTTGATATGACAATTAATTGCTATATATTTCCATCTTAAGACCACTTTCATTGTATCCCACAGATTACAGTATGTTATTCCTGCATTTTCATTGAATTGTAGGTATTGCTTTATTTCTTCTTTAATTTCATCTGTAGCCCACTGGTTGTTCAGAAGGTTGTTATTTAATTTCCATGTATTTATGCAGGTTTTGCAATTTCTCTTGCCATTGGTTTCCAATTTTAGTGCACTATGGTTAGAAATTACTCATGGGATAATTTCAATACCTTTGAAGTTACTTAAGAATGTTTTATGGGAAAATATATGGTCTATTGT